ATCCTACTAACTTTGTTTTGGATTTTGATGATTAGGTTTCTGAGAGCCTCCTTTAACCATTTACAATGACAATTATTGGAATAACAGTAGCAGGAGACAGTGAATTGCCTGTGTAGGTACAGTGTGATATACTCTGCAATTCTTTTTTTTAAAAAAAGATTTATTTATTTATGCATACAAGAGATGGTGTACAGGCCAGCAGTATGGGGTTGAGAGGATTCACCAGAGACAAAGTGGGGAACAAAACAGGCAGATTGACCAAAGTACACTGCTGGGGGGAGCAGCGGGCAAGTCAGGAGAAGTCTGCTGCGCCATTTGGGTTGCTCCCTGGCCAGCCGGGGATTGAACTCATGCTGCAGAGACTGCAGACAGCTTCATAGGTTGCGTCTTAACCCCTTGTGCTACCAGGGAGGCCCCCTCTGCAGTTCTTTTTTAAGCACTAACAAGTGACTCTCTGATAAATCGAAAAGAAGTACACAAATATTATTTTTAAGGAGAAAATAGACTAAATTTGAGGGATCTACCCAAAGAGTGACTTAAGAGTAGAAAGAAACTTGAATTAAGAGTCAAAAGATCTGACTCTTAACTGAGTTCCCATTCTCACTTGGTTATTTGATCTCGAGCAAATCATTTTATTTCTCTGGTCTAGATGATTATTCTGGTTCCTTCAAGTTCAAATACTATACTAAAAAGATCAAAAGTCCCTGTGGTCCTTAAGAGTTAGAGATGGAGAAAGATAAAAGGGAGAACAATAAACAGTGAAGTCGAGGGATCCTGGGATGTAGTGGGAGGTTAAGATTGATACAGAGATTGAAGTCCTTGATTGGTTCTGCCCTTAACTGGCTGATAACCTTAAATGCCACTTCCTCTCTTCAGACCAACATTTCTCCCATTAATACCCAGATCATTTCCCAGTTCTAACAGCCTAGAATTCTAAAGTATAGGTTACTGCTGCTATGAGCAAAGATGTTCTACTGAATCAGTGTATTCATGTCAGTAAGAAACAGGGCATATGGATAAAATATTTAGCAACCAGAAGCTTCAAACTTTACTTGAGGTTTTCCCCCAAGTTCTAACCCAAATAGAGTCACTCACAAGCATTGATCTAAACTCACTGCTGGACTATACTGAACTCCCCCCTCCTCCATTTTTAATGAAATGCCAAAAACTGACCAGAAAAGAAATAGGTGCTGCTCAATCATGTATCAATCCAGCTTCTCTGTTGTCTCTTTTCTGTTATTGTACGTCCTTACTCTTGTCACTGTCTGACTCAAATTCTTCAGGTTCTTCTCAAGGTGCAAATCTCACTTCTTCCATGAAGCCTAACTTTCTCACACTAGCTCACATCTATCTCTCATTATTTCAAATTTCTGTGGTTCTACATTGCTGTGGTAAAGGTTAAACAATATTTGTAAAGAGTTTAAGTACAATATCTGGCACATAACAGTTGCTCAGTAAATAAATCATAGTTGTGTTTGGTTTTGTTGCACACCTTTAGAGCTAATCATGCACCCCTTAGTTCAGCGCACCTTATAGTTAATGTGCGTATGAATTACCTAGAGATCCTGTTCAAATGCAAATTACAGTTCAGTAGGTCTGAAGTGAGAACTGATAATCTGTGGTTCAAAAAGCTCCTGCTGTTGATCCAAGGACCATACTCTGAATACAAGGGGCAGTTTCTAATAAGCTTTTAAAAATGTATTTATCATATCTACCCACCCCGACAAAAGGTCTTGGAAGACAGATACCATGTCTCATTTCTTAGCAGCTATGCCTTATAGAGAGGAGATGCCATGGACTTATTGTAACTGCAGTGTCTGGATAATCGCCAAAGCACTTGTGCTATATTGATTTTCAAGTCAAACACTGAGACATGCTAGGAGGGAAAAGCTCATCTGGTCACTGGAATCAGAATTGCTAGAATGAAGGCAAGGGAGTCTCTAAAAGAAAACTTACCTCTTCTGTGAGAGTGCAGTGCACAGGAAAACAATATATACAATGGATGTCACTTGTCTTTTAAGCCCGAGGTTCAGCCTTAGCTGCACTTCACACTTGGGCAAGAACCATAAAAGAAGACTTGCATGTTCAAGCAGTATATATTTTTCAATAACACTTTTAATAATTACTAGTAAGGTATAGATGAGCCTGATTTCATCTTCTTAGTGGTACAGGTACATTTTTCAATGGTCTTTTAGTGTGAGATTAATCTAAAGATCTCAGATAACCAATGAAAACAGACAGAGGGAGACAGCAAATGAGCAAGCAAGCGAGAAGAAAAACACCTTCAATGTTCCCATCAAACTGGTCAGTAGTGAGGTCCCCAAATGTCACTGCCCACAATTACATGAAGAGAAATTCAAAGGACTCTGCTGTGTAGGAAAGCTGCTCAGAGGATGCCTATTTTAAGCCCTTCTTCTAAGTCCCCAATTATTTAAATGCTTGTTAAAACGCTCTTTGTTTGAGCATTCTATAATTCAGATGGGACCGATATTATTAAATTCTTTGGGGAGGATACACTCTGACTTCCTATTCAAGCACCAGGATAATAACATTGGGCATATATGACACTGCTCGCTGAATACTATCTCAGTAGTTTAAACTCTGAGACAATTTTACCAAAAATAGCCTGTGGAACAACAACAACAAAAAAGACCTTTTTAAGTCCCTTGTCATAAGCAGCCACCTGTTCCTTAACCCAAAGAGACTTTTCAATAAAACCACTCATCAATATTTAACTGGGCTGTCTTAAGCAAATTTAGACAGGGTTGAGACAAACTCTGCAATTCTGAGAAATGCAATTAAGCACTGAAACAGAGAAGCACGGAACTGCTGTCAAACATTAGACCCAGACTGGGTTTATGAGTTGTAATAAATCAATGTTATTACTTCAGAAAAAAAGTAACGGTTGGGAGTCAGCCTGCAGGAAAGTGGCTTCTATTACTTCCATCAGAAGCCTAGCCTCCAGGGCAAGGCAACTGCTCTGCTACATGCCAGGCAGTCTTTCCAGAGAATACTATCCAAGGACAGCATCAAATCTCAATCTCAGAACTAAACACAAGCTTACAGCAGCCTCCCCCAACAATCATGCCCAGCACACCCATACAAACTCAGCTTTCCACCTGCAGGGACCTAACTGTAACTAGGCTCAAAACAAACACCGTCAACAGGGTAGATCAGGACAAGGCACAGGAGGCTCAGACTCTTGCACAGAAAAATGAAGCACCAAGATCATTTCTATTTCTCCCCTCCTTGTGCTGGCCTCTCTTTAAGACTCATCTTTCATGACTCTCCAAAAACTGACTCTTACCAATCACTCCACTTACTGAAACAGTAGTCTCAACTAGTAATTCTAGATTCTTTTTTGTTAACTAAGTCTCACATTTTGTCTCCCAAATTAGAATGAGTTTTCTGAAAGGCCCCTGCACTGCCTAGCCCCTAGAGGGAGCCTATTATCAATATTGTTGATGATAATAATGAGATGCAATAAAACATAGTAGAGGAAAATAGGTTTAAGTTCAAATTTCGGTTCTACGATTTGTTGGCTAAATGACTGCAAACTCATGACTTACTCCCAAGTCTCAGCCTGGGAGCAAATTAGTTAAGGTCTCCTTCCCCTTGATAAGCACTTGTTGATTGGAACTAGGAGTAATTGGGGGAGGCGGGGTCTGGTGACACCATCACACTCTTAAACACTTCCCCCCTTCACTGGTACTTGTGTCTCGCTGATTCCTAACAGAGAGAGGTCCCTTCAGATTTTCTACTCCACCGTCCTGAGAAAAAGCCAAGGACTCAAGTCACCCAAATGACCATTCAGAATGGTCATATTCTGGGCCAGCAGGAGTGGGGGATCTCAGCAGGTCCATTACACCCTACCACACCCAAGCCAGCGCTCCCTCCCTCTGGGTCTCCCAGTGGGAAGTGAATAAACAGAGAAAAGAGGTGAAGCAGCCAAGAGAGGAAATGGAGATAAACAGTTCTGTGGTTGCTCTATGCCTTCCTCATGGAAGGAAACCCTGAGGTCCAGGCTCCAACCTCAACCCTATGAGGAAGGAGGGAGGGAAAAAACCCTCCACGAATTCCTGGAGAAAAGCACCTGACGCCTCACCTGTCAGTTGCTCCAGGCTCTTGAGCTGTCCTTCCCCATCATCACCCACCCAACCACGCGAGGGTCCACTTCTGCTCCACAGAAAGCCTCTCCCTTCACTGGTTTGTGCTAAATGAACCTCACTGATGCTTCACAGCTAGAGAGGACATCTCTCCCAGCCTTCACCTGCTAAGTTGGAAAAATGCCACTTACATGCCTAAAAAAGAGAAAATAATCCCAGTTCTTTAACTCCCCGTCTGCTGCATGAAGGCAGGGGTGTTTCTGTGCTTCCTTTTCAAGGTCCACAATGTTTTGCCTCAGTCACCCTCTTTCCCCGCGCCCTCCCATCCCACAGACCCCAGGAGCAAATTAAAAAATCCACCACCCCCTCCCGGCAGCAACAACTGTATTATTCCTAAAAGGACTTCAGCGGGCCCCGCGGGCCCTGCAGGGGCCACCTGCCCCCCACACCCCCAGCTGGGGCCTGGCCACCCGAGATGTCAACAGGGACGGCAGCCTTCGGGGGGACCCCCGCCGCCCTCCCCGCGCCCATGTCCCCTCAAACCCCTCGGTCCCTCACGGAGTCGAAGCTTCTGACCGGCCTCCCACGTCCCACGGCCGGCCGGGGCCATTTCACCTCAGCTTTTACGCGTCTGAGTTGGCCGGGCCCCATCCTGCCCCCCCGCCCCCGAAAAAACACCCGTATTTCCCCCGCCCCCCTGATGCAGAGAGCAGCGCCCCTCGGCGGGCCTCGGGGTCTGAGCAACCGAGGAACCCCCCCCGGACGCCCCCTCCAGGCGGACGGCCGCCTCCGGGCCCCGCGCCCCCCAGCTCCCCGGGCCCCACCCCCTCGCCGCGGCCCCGCTTTCGGGGCTCGGGGCCGCCCCGCGCCCGGCCCGGCCCGGCCCGGCCCTACCAGTCGGTGTGCGGCGCGTCGACGACCAGCAGCACCTTGGCCCTGCGCGCGGCGGGCGCGGGCGCGTCCACCAGCCCCGCCGAGGCGGCCGTCTGCTTCACGGCCTGGGACAGCGAGCTGAAGAAGCTGCTGCCCACCGACGGCGCGGGCGCGGGCGCGGGCGCGGGCGGCGCGGCGGGCGCGGCGGCGGGCGGCGGGCGGCGCTCGGGCCCGGGCGAGGCGGCCGGGGGCGCGGGCGCCGCGGCGGGCGCGCCGGGGCCGGGGGGCGGCGGCGGGGGCTCGGGCCGCTGCAGGTCGGTCATGTAGCCATTGGGCAGGTTGGCGATGAAGCTGCTGTCCGACAGCCGGCGCCGCAGGAAGTTCATCATCGGGCCGCGGGGCGCGGGCGGCGGGACGGAGGCGGCGGCGCGGTCCGCGGCGCGCGAGCCCGGCAGACCTCGGCGGCGGACTGGGCCGGGCGGGCCGGCGGCGGCGGGGCTCGGCGGCGGGGGCGGGGCCGGGGCGGGCCGGGGCGGGGCCTCGCGTCGCCCCGCCCCGCGCCGCAGCGCCAGCCCCGCCCCCCGCCGGGCGCCCGCGGCGGGCACCCGGGCGCGACCCCCGGGGTCGGCGGGGCGGGGCGCGGGGGCGCGGGGAGCCGGCGCCGGCCGCCTCCGCGGGCTGGGTGCGGAGCGCGCGAGAGCCGGTCCTGCTCCCCGGGAGCAGCGGGGGACGGAGCCCAGAGCCCCCGCCCGCCTTCTCTGGCGGGAATACCAGAGCCGCGTCCCCCCGCCCCCCAGACCCCCAGACGGAGGCTGAGGCAGCCGCGTCCGTTTCCTCTGGAGGGAAGGGAGTGTCAGCCTCCCGGCCGGGGGTGACACGGGGCCATCGCCACCCCTCGCAAGCGCACACACACACACGCACACACACACACGCACACACACACACACACACACACACACACACACACACACGACCTGCGGTGACAGAGAAAAGAACCAGCTTCTTTCCCCAAGCTGGCAGAAAGGTGCCATCTCCCCAACCCCCAGGTGAGGAAGAAATAATCCACCCCCCCACTAACACATACACACACACACACACACACACACACGACCTGTAGTGACATGGAAAAGAACCACCTTCTTTCCCCAAGCTGGCAGAAAGGTGCCATCTCCCCAACCCCCAGGTGAGGAAGAAATAATCCACCCCCCACTAACACACGCACATGCTTTATGGTGGGAAAAAAATTACCTCTTCCTCAGTGCTGGGGGAGAAAAGGCATCCCCCCAACCCCAGGGCGATGGGGACTTGAAATAAAGGGTCACGTTCTGTGTTTTCAGGAGTTGGGGGTGGGGGGCACACATCCTCTCCACCCTGCTTTAGCAGCAGGAGGGCGGGAGAGGGCATTTTCGGCTCCTGCGCTTGAGGGATGAGTCACTTAAGAGCATGACTTCTCTCCTCCTCCTCACATCAGAAGGAAAAACAGTGTGTAAGACTGGAGAACCTCCTGCAGGACCCCCAAGTGGGACATCTGAGGCTCCCCACCCCTTCTGTGTTCACCTTTCTGACAGACATTGGTGCAGCCTCTCTAGGACCAAGAAGGCTGTCTCTTCAAGAACTTTCTTTGTATTTGTTTTTTTTTATTTCCAGTTCATTCAATGGCCAGATCTCTGTTCATCAGCTCCCATGTGCACTCCCTACATCTTGTGTCAACCTTTGTTTTCACCTCTCAAGAGATATCCTTAATCCTTGTGTTGTATTGGAGCAGGACACAGCAAATATACTCTGCAGTCAGAGCACCCTGGGTGATGTGTTACCTTACCCTAATTAGCTTTTGAGTCCTCTTTTCCCCACCTAAAAAAAAAGAGAAAAGTAACGCATTTCTAAGTTGTGACACAGGGTAAGTGACATCAGTATGTAAAGTGCCTGGCACACGTGCCAGGTGTTCTAGTAGCAGTGGCTGGATTCTTTTTCTTACTTGAACTACTTCTTAGTAAGTGCTTATTGGACAGAATGGAATCCATGAGTGGCTTGTCATGGATGTTGGCAGAGACGTGTGCAATCACAGATTCCCCTACTTCTACATCCCAGCTGCTGGCACTCAAGTTGTGGCCTGGAGATGCACAATCCGCCCTGAACCAGAGCCACGTGACATCCAGGAGGTCTCTGCCAACTCTAATAACAGTGGTCTCCCCACCTGCCCTGTGAACCAGGTGGTGGTGAGAGCTGCAAAGACTGACACAAATGAGTGTGGTCCTTGTCTGTGGGAAGTTCATGGTCCATGTGGACTACAGGAGGGAGTAGGGAGGAGAGATAGAGGACACTTCACACAGGAAGATGTGAGGAGTGCCATAATACAGTTGGGCAGGGTTGCTGAAAGGCACCCAGGAGTGAGGGATTCATTCTGCCTGTGAGGTTTAGGGATGACCTCTAGAGAAGGGGACATCTGATATGGGTCTTGAGGCAGGGGTAGGAGTTTACCAGCAGAGAATGGGGAAAGCATCCATGTGTGGAGAATGCAACTATGACTGGGGAAAAGTCAGGTGAGCAAAGTCAGGGAAGCTGGACTGCATAGTTCTAAGGTACGGCTCTCAAAGGCAAAGACCTTCCTTGTCTTATCACTATATTCCCTGAGCTTAAAACAACACCTGGCATGTACTATATACACTCAAATATTTGTAAGCGAGATTCTGAGAAGCTGTATCTGAGTATCTTTTTAAATTATAGTGTCTATCCAACTTTCTTTTTAGGTGGCAAGCCCCATACAGTAAAGAATCCTGTCTTCTGCCTCTCTACTAAGCCTGATTATAACACACAGTAATTGTCCCAATCGTGGGTGCTAGATCAGAATGTTCCCAGAGATGTGTGCAATCACAGATTCCTTCACTGATACAGTAGAGGACCAAGAGAACCATTAAAAAATATTCATCGAATGTTCCATTAACTTAAATTATTTTTAGTAGGTTTTAATAAGGATATTAATCTTAAGGAAGAACAGATGACTTTCTTAGGATCAGGCATGGGTGATTCCTAATCAATTGAATATAGTCAGAATATGAAGTTGGCACAACTGTAAATTACATCTTTTTAAACATATATCCTGCATGTTCCACTGAGTCCTTGCCAAGAATTGTCTTAGACATTTTATCATAAGTGGGTTTTTAATGTGGGTTTTTAATGTGTTAAAATGAAAATTTTCCCCTTGTCCTTTCCTGTGGGTCTGGATACCAGATGCAGAGAGGTGTAACACTCTTAGTTTATCTTATGTCCTGCCTTGTCTCTGGAATTGAAAGGAGAACAGGATTTGGAGATTCTACAAACTATAAAATTCTGGTGCAGTTAGGTCTATTTTGCCGATCTCCCTCTGAGACCAGCCAGCCATTCCCTGTCTGCAGGTGAAAGTCTTTCCTCCCAGAGCAATCAGTGAAGGTGTCTCCCCAACCTTTTTTAGTCACTTAGGGCCTGACTAAGCCAATGATCAGAATCCCCGAAGTCTCTTCCAATTCTAGAAGCCCAGGATTCTTTGAGTAATCTTTATCTTCCCACTGAGTTGTAAACACAAGTACACATCTGGCACCTGCAGATGAAAGAATCCTGTTAAAACTAGAAACCAATTTAAATGCTTTATTGCCTCTTTGATTCCTTTCTTTCACTGAGCAACTATGTAGAGGAGAAAGCTGACAGGGAGGAAGGCTGGGTCCCAGGCTGAGGAACCACTGAAGTGCTTTCCACTGGCAGCTCAGAAACACAGCTCAAAGCAAAGAGCCACTGGAAAACACCCAATTGGGGTGTCCTCCCAACAAGGAAGTTTGCTGGAACATACTTGGCCCTTGCTCACCTCTCAAGACCAGGAACCCACCCACTTAGCCCCACCTGCCCTAAAGAAGAGTCGAGATTTTGGAATTTAGAAACAGTGGGTTCCAGACTCAGCTCCATCACTAGTTGGCTTTGCAGTTTTCAACAACTTGCTCAACTCTCTGGGCTTCTTATTGAACACAGAACAATAGGTCTGCCTTGGGCCTCTCATGAGATAATATGGGGACACTTTGAAAGTGACAAAACTTTATCACCAGAAGCAATATGATCACCCTCCTTGTTTGGAGCACCCAATTGCTTTGAGAGTTTGTCTTCTCAGGTGGGTGTTCTTGGCAGTCAGTCCTGAGCATGCCCATCTCTGCACAGAGCTCAGCTGTCGCCCTGACACTGAATTCTCCAAAGGTGTCCTCGTTCGCTTGACCAATTTGCAATCATTAAGAATTACACAAATATAAGCTCAATTCCTAAATCTGCGTTGTAGCAAATGGAACAAATCACTGGCAACCTTGGTTTCCTATTCTGTAAAAGAATGGTGATAATTATCACAACTACCTTGAAGGACTATTTCAGGGGCTAAATAAGATCAAGTATATGAGTGTATACTTTATAAGCTGTAAAGCACCACGCAAATGTTAGCTATTAATACTCCTGATGCCAGGGGAATCACAGAACTTACCAGCACAACTAAAATAGTTATCCCAATGTTAAACACCCAAGAGAATCCAGGCAGACATGAGGTCGACTCTGCAGCATCCCCAGGCATAGTACCTGCTGCAATAAATGCAACAACCACTTCAAGTAATGGCTTCTGCCTTCCTGGGTGACCTTCAACAGTGCACTTAACATCTCTCTCTAGGCTTCCATTTCCTGGCCTGAAAAATGAGGGAGAGGGAGTTGAGCTGAGTGATCCCCAAGGTCTAGTGTTGTGAGATTCTCTGGGTGGAGTCCCACAAGGGGAAATAAGCACCTGATGTCACCAGGCTGAGCCAGGGAATACAGGGATGGAGTCTGGGGAGCAGAGACTGAGCAGATGGTGTTAGGAAGAGAGACAGAGAAGCAGGGGTACCCAGGAGAAACATGGGTGGCATGGATTCTCATTCCAGGTCTGCTCCTGACTTAAGGGAGTCAGAGATGGTCCCAGGGCCAAGTTCTCTGATGTGTGGTTAGATGCTAACCACATGCCAGAGACGGCCCCTGAGTTATCTCGTTTACTCTCCCACAAGAGGCATGCAATAACCGCCCCCTTTTTTATGTTTTTTTTAATTTTTTTTTTTTATTAATAGAGGCATGTTTTTTATTTATTTATTTGTTTGTTTGTTTTGTTTATACATGCACTGGGTACAGTCAGAAGCACGGGAGGGTGAGAGAATTCACCAGAGCCAGAGCGGGGAGCAGAGCAGGCAGAAGGACCGAAGTACACTGCTGAGGGGAGCAGCGGGCGGCAGGAGAGGTCTGCGCGCCATGCGGGACCCTCCTCCCGTGGCCGGGGAGCAGCCGGGGATCGAACCGGCGCTGCAGAGGCCGCGGGCAGCTTCGCAACCCAGTGCTCAACCGCTGCGCCACCGGGGAGGCC